CTCTGTTTACATTAGACGCAATAACTATCATCGGCAATACGCTTAAACAATAAAAAGCATACGAACCGAATACAAGAAAATAATACGCGCGTAGCAATAGAGATAAATAGCGCCTACCAAAAGCAAAAAAAGTTATTACTATAGAAAGAGAACTAAAATAGATCATTTTCACGTTGATCGACTGTATTCGAAAACAACTGTGATGTGATACAGTTGTTTTATTTTACATATATTGTATCGATGTTAGTATAATGAAACTGTAGAGATTATGTGAGTTCCACATTTTAGCTCCAACGGAGCTGCGCTGATAAGCTTTTTCTACCGTCCTGATTCTCTGTTTTAGAATAGAAAGCAATTGACGATTATTGTCTTAACTCATTTCTCGATGGTAATCATGTCTCTTACTAATCTTCCTCTCGAACTTATTCATCGAATTTTCGATTATTGTGATATATTAACGATACTTTCTGTTCGTGTTACCAGTAAATACTTATACTTGGCTGCTAATGCCTTTGATCGATATGACCTCGACAATAATTATGCGTCAGAAAATACATTATCATTAATTACTCGTTTTATTCGACTGCAAAACTTTGTTTCACTGAATCTGTCCAGTGGTTATGTGACAGATGACTCGTTTACTGAACTGATGTCACATATCGATATTCGTCAGTTAATTCGACTTCGTTCATTAACTCTTTCTAATCTAAGCGATGTGAAATTGAAGCAAATTTTATCCATGGTAAATTCAGAATCTCTTCTCTCACTTTCTATTCAGTTTGATGTGAAGAAATATAGTGGAGTATTTAATATTTTGTCATCAGCGATTACGCGACTTATTGCATTACAAAGGCTTCATTTAAATACGGTTGGCTATAAGGAAATGCAGATAGCATGGCCCACTAACTGTAGTTTGAAATATGCGATTATCGATACCTGCACGTACAATCAATATCGAGTTATGATTCATAGCCTACCCCATTTAGAAAGTGTTTCTATAGAGGATTGCACTTTAAACGAGTACAATGGGAAAACTCTATTATTATCTGCGCCTACGTTACATCCATCATTGAAGTCTCTAACTATGGCCAAAAGTAGACTTCCTGCAGAGTATATTCAACGTCTACTTTCAGAAACACCCAATCTTGTCAATCTAACACTGATTTCACATAAACGACAATTTGATTCCCTTTTCGATGGTGCTTATTGGGAAAATTTTATCCAAATGAAGTTACCTTTGCTGGCTAAATTCGAATTTTTCTTCGAAAGTTGTCTAAGCAAAGTAGAATGTGACTATAAAGGCGACTACCATTACAAAGAAAAGGACGAAAATTATACTCATACTAGCCTCAGCTCACTTATTCTTCCATTTCGAACACCATTCTGGCTCGATGAAAAACGCTGGTTTGTTACTTGTGATTTTCTGATAGAGTCTGCAGATTTAAGAATCTGTACCGTTCCTGTCATTGTTGTTGATAAGTGGCAGTGCTACAGATGTGAGTTGTCTCCGTTCGATGATAAACCTCGTATTACTGAACGATTAGTCAATGAAGCCATCGGCACTTCTACAGATAAGGTATTTAAAGAAGGTCTCTTATACCTGAAAGTGAATTATCTTACTGAGTGCATTTGAAAATATGAATAATCAAAGTCAGTTATTGACTAGATCTTGAGGCTCTTGCAATATGGATAAAATTAACTGATTTCTAAATCGATTTCCCCCGAATTTGAACTAAAAAATAGTTGAATATCGTTCATACATTTGGTTCAACTTTTCTCAATTTGTACATTTTCTCTCATTACCAATCATATTCATGCGGAAACTTCATATAATCGATGTTGACAAGTATTCATGTTGATTATATACACAACTGTATATTTAAAAGCATGATTTTAATTCGAATAGATCTAAACCAAAAATCTCTGGAGCTCTTTGCAAGCTATATAGGACAGTGATTGTCATTTCTTTCTTTCTATACAGGTACTCACCACACTCAAGTTTGAAAATTGTGGAATCAATAGTATACGAATAGGATATCTTGCCGATGTTTTACGACATGATAAAGTGATTTTTTGTTTTACAGTATCCTCATACGTGAGATACATTCTTCTTTGTACATAGACAATTACCAACTTGAATCTCAAAAATAATACAATAGGACCAAAAGGAATTCAATATATTGCCGAAGCTTTACAACAGAACAAGGTAATTTTCTGTCTTATCTAATGTTCTGCAAATGTGACTTTCTTCTCTTTACAGACACTTACTACACTGAATCTTCAGCAAAACTGCATCGGAACCAATGGGGCACCATATATTTGCGATATTCTCCAGCACAATACAGTGCACTATATTCTCTCTTTATCTCTCTCATATCAATCTGTTCTTCTGCGTATAGACACTCACGAGACTGAATATTGGCATGAGCGGCATCGGAGTTGATAAAATGATAGAAATCTTTAATGCATTACAAGCTAATACAGTAGTCAAGCCTCTCTCGCTATCTCGCTCATATTCATGTTCTTTGCCATATAAAGACACTCAAAGCAATTGATTTGTATCACTGTAGCATTGGAAGATATGGTATGGATTACCTCACTAATGCTCTACAAAAAAATACGGTAACCCTAATTTTCTCATAATTTCTTGCATGTCTACTTTATTCTCTTTACATAGACACTCACTGAACTGAATCTCACTTCGAACGATATCAAAGTTGCTGCTGCAGAACATCTAGCTTGTCTTTTCCGAAAGACAACTGTTAGTTATACTATCACTTCATTTTCCGTGACATTAACCTTATTTAGTACTCAAAGGCGCTCTCTATATTAAATCTTTACGACAATGAAATCAATGCTATTGCCGCTAAACATCTTGCTGATGGATTACAACACAATAAGGCAAACTGCAGTTAATATTGATATTTCTCATGTTGATTTTGTTCTTGACCATCAGACTCTTACTTTCCTGAACATTGGACGCAATGAAATGGAGGAAGAAGGAATAAAATATATTGCTGATGCCTTACAGACTAATACGGTGAGCTAATTATATTTCGTTTTTGCCTCGTATGTGCTTCTTGTCTTTTAAATGTAGACACTTCGCATACTACAGATTGATTGGAATACGATCAGAACTACTGGAGCACGGCATCTCAGTGATGCTATGCGCAAAAACACGGTAAATTTCATTCATTTTATATCTCTCAATGATATCCAACTTCAACTTGGCATAGACACTTACTGAGCTGTCTGTTGTCTATAATTTCATTGGAGACAAGGGAGTGGAACACTTGTGTGATGCTCTACGACATAACAAAGTAACTCGGGTTCTCTTTTTATCTGTTTTGTATTCAACGCCTGATTTGAAAGAAATGTTGAAGAGTTCAGAGTTATAATTTTAAATCCATTATCCTCAATTTGTTTTACTCAATTTCTATAAGAGTGAGGAAATTAAAATTACCTTCTTGATGTTATATTGAAGCAAAATTAATATGGATCAAAAATAAACATGGTGAAATTTTAGAATGAAAGAAACAGACACTGTTGCTATAAATTCTTTTGATAAATGAATATCTCTCAAAAGTTATATATCTGTACAATTCGTTTAATATTTCTTCAAATAATCCGAGTAAATCGACGAGCATTGTAGTCTTAACCTCTTCTATAAGCGGGACTTTTCTCACCGACATTATAGAACTATAAGTAGATAATAGCTGGTCTATTATATGACTAATGAAACAGATTGTTGTACATTTTAAAGGTATGTTTAGCTATCGTGTTTTCGAACCAAGTGAATCACCGATTAGAATTACTTTTTTTAAGATCTTTTACACGGGAAAATACATCGATTCATTCGAAATTTTAATTGCGTCGAAAACTTTCGTCTTTATTTTATCCTGTTCTTGTAGACGCTTACCTCACTTAGACTAATTAACAATGGTATAGGACCTATTGGAGCACAACATTTTTCTAATGTCCTACGAGACAATTCGGTGACTTTCTTTTTCTTCTTATATACTTTATACACGTTTTTTTCTACAAGTAGACATTCACTGCTATAGAACTTGGTGCTAATCTAATCGAAGACAAAGGAGTAGGGTACCTAGCTGATGTCTTTCGAACCAATAAGGTAATTTGCATGTTATCTTCATCTTTTTCATGTCTATTTTCTTCAGTATATAGACAATCACCAAGGTAGACTTTAGATCGAACTACATCGGAGACAAAGGTGTCGAATATCTGGCTGATAGCTTACGGTATAACAAGGTAGTTCACAGTTTGCTTCCATACATATATCTGGTATTTTCCGGCTTCTATACATGCAGACAATTACCGAAATCGATCTAAGCGACAATAAAATCGGAGACAAAGGAGTAAAACTTATTAGTGATGCTTTAAGAGAAAACATGGTAACTCTTACTAGTTTCAGGCTTCTCTCACGTTTATTTTTACCTGTACACAGACACTTAAAAAAATAGATCTTGGCAACAATCGATTCATTCAGAAAGGGACACAATACTTACGTGACATCCTAGAAATAAATAACGTAATTTACACTCCTTCTTTACCTATCTTATATATATATATATATTTTTTTTTGTTCTTTTCATACAGATGTTTCAAGAAGAAATGGACTAAGTCTGAGGGACTTCGTAGGAAGTGCCACATGATCACCAAAAGAAAATCAATAGAATTCAATGGATTCATTTTTTTTCTTGTATCCATATTTCATTTCTTCCTTTTTTCTCCAGTGCTTTTCTTTCTTTTAGCCGTTCGAAATAGAATCACGTACTTGAAAGCATAAAAGTCGAATAGGTGCATTATCAGAGGATAAGAGTGGTGTTGTTACAGTTGACATGAGAATTTACTTGAGATTGGAATTGATAAACAACACGAAATTTCATGAACATTCTATGAGTCATCAGATAATCAATGTTTGCTCTTAATTTTTTTTCGTTTGAGTTTCGAGAGCTAGCGATTTCGATTCATTGACTGAGGCTGTGTAGCCTCGAATATGATCGAAAAAGAATAATAACTAAAATATGTTTACATTGAGAATATTATAATATTTTTATGAAATATGCTTAAAAATAGTAATAAAATGCTACAATTTTGTTCAACAATGGTACAATCTCTTCTATCACCCGGGATCAAAGCAACGACTAGGGTGTGGGTGTCCGTCTTCTCTTTTCCCACACCCACACCCAGTTCCAACAATGAAAAATAGTGTACACCGAGTGGCCTCAACTACTTCGGAAGCAAAGTAGTTTTGACACTTCTAATTGTGATATATTCGTAATCGGTGCCCTTGAATCCACAATTACATGTGACGTTGATTCGTGAAAAAATAAACTTTGTTTTCGATGATACCTATGGGTTACCTCAGGCAAAAAAAATCGTCAATGCCAATTTTCGGGAAACAAAGTTGAAAAAAGTGATCAAGAACGATCCTTGATTAATAGATGATAGAAATAACTCAAGTATGACGGAGGGGGGGGGGGGCCGAAAAAACGAATTTATCCGGCCTCCTCCTTTATTTAGATTTTATTTGAACATTCATTTCATAGGAAACCAGAACTAGAGCAAGAATTATGATTCTTAAAAAAGAGGTCTTAGATTGATTTTAACAAAATTTGCAAAAAAACTTATGGAATTAAGTCAACCACACTATTCTCCTAAATATGTCATTGTTGCAGAATGATCACTTCATCCTAATCTTAGCTAAACAACACAACATTCGAATTCAGTTGGCTCTGTACGAGAAATCACATGTTTTTCTTCTTCTTAAACAATCACATATCATTGTGGACTAGTGACACCATCTATAGAATCTATGATTGCATAAGATCATAAACGTATAGTAATAGTCTCCGCTTCGAATGTGAAATCATAATAGAGATAATATTCAAATAATTAATTAATTTTATCTTCATTATCACTCAAACAATAGCTTCCATGTCAACGATGACCGATATAAATATGATAACAAACTATTCTGCTGAAGATATAGGTTAGTTCTTTTATTTTTTTTCTATTATTTCAAATATTATGTATTTCAAATTAGAACGAATTATTAATAGTTTCTATTCTCCTACATCTCAATTAACTATAGAACAACGTCAACAATTAAATGCCATTCTTGAAAATTTACAATATTCAAAATTAGCATGGGATTTCTCATGGAAACTATTAGATATCAATAAATCTGCAAGTGTACAATTTTTCGGTGCTGTTGCTCTTTGTAATAAAATTTCAAAACATTTGTGAGTTGTCTCAGTGAATTTTTAGTTTATTTTATTGATTTAAAATTTCAGATCCGAATTAGATGATAATCAAATTCAACAACTTTTCCAACAACTTATTCAACGATTAATTTTCTATATTTCGATTCATTCAAAACAGATTATTACAAAATTAACTGTTGCTGTTCGTAAAAGATTTTCAAACAAAAAGAAAAGATTTCTTAGCGAATTTTTCTCAATTTAGTTAGATCATTTAATTTTGCATATGATACCAGACAAATGGAATAATGGTATCATAACTATTGTTAATTTATTTACACAATCTCAAAATGAATTTTTACTTCAACATGTTTGTGAATTAATAAATTTTCTATTAAAATATCACATTTTTATGTGTTACATTTCTTTTAGCCGGAAAAAGGACACCTAATTGTATTGAATATTTTAACTATATTGCCTGAAGAAGTAAGTCGTACACCCTCAAGAATTCACTAGATGTTTGATTTCTGTTAGTCAGTATTTACATACTACAAAGCAAAAAACATGGTGAATCAAACTAAAATTCATTTTTTCTTTTGTATTTTAGTTTTCGCGCATTAATGTATCAAAATCTCAACGTTCGTTAATTCGACTTGAACTTGAAAAAGAATTTCCTAATGGTAATGAAAGAAAATTAAATCAAAATTTCTCTCTTAAATCGTTTTTTTTCTTCTTAATTTAGTTCTTAATTATCTACAATTTATTATTTCGACTTATAATCAAACAGATATTCTTGGTAAAATATTTTCTTGCCTATCGAAATGGCTTGAATTTGGCATATCAATCCTTCAAATTGAAATACTTTTTGAATATTTATTTAACTCATTAAATAATGAAAATCTATTTGAAGATGTTTGTGATTGTCTTACGGTTCTATTTACTTCACCTGATGCATTAAAATATCCATCAACATTTTCTCGTTTGTTTCCTTATATTCTGCAATTTGAAATAATACTTGATCAATGTTTAACAGCAGGAAATAAAGTAAAAGAAAAAGGCATTTTACTTCTCTTTCTTAACTTAGTTTTTTCAACAAAAAGGAAAAAGCTGAATGTATAACGAAATTACTCACACAATTTGGTGAGAATCTTGCTCAACTTATCGTACAAATGTCGACGACACCAAACTCACAAATGCTTGCACATAATTTTTGTCGTCTTGTTATGGTAAAATTTGTTTATTTGATAGCTAAGTTATATTTTATTTTAATTTTAGAAATGTACGGAGATCAAAGGGCAATATCCCATTGATGAAACATGTTCAATAATAGCATTAGAATTTTGGAATACATTAGAAGTATTGTATAGGAGTTATTTTCAGTATTCAGCCATGAGACTATTTTTTTGTTAGGAAGAAGTTACTTCAATCAATGAAAAAATAAATCAAGAAGCTCGATTAGAATTCTTCCGTCCGTATTTTGAATATTTGATTGAAGTGTTAATATTAAAAGGACAATTACCAGCTAATGAGAATATATTTACCAATGAAGATAAAGAAACATTTCGGTGCTATCGTTCGGCTATCATAGAAACTATGGTAAATAATCAGTATACGCAGAATAAAAACATAGACTGGTATATTTAGATATGTATGCATAATGCTCTCGATAAAAGAGCGATGAAAGGTAAGCTGAATTGAATTCTAAAAACAAACGATAGAATTAAGTAACAACACCAGACAGGACCAACTGAATCCTCCTGTGACATTCTCGGGCAGTCAATAAAACTCGAAGCCATCGGCGGATAGTGTTAATTGGAAAATTTATTTATTTTTCTTATAGTATTACTCAATCGTTTATTAATATCTATTGAGCAAAGTCAACCATGGCAAATGCAAGAATCAATAGTCCAATTAACTGGTGCTGTATCTGAATGTATTTCACCTGATGAGAATCAAGATTTGCCGCATATTTTTTCACTCTTACCAAAATTAAATTTTTCAAATAGTTTAATTATGAATACTACGTTGATTGTTTTAGGTAGGCGAATTTCTGAGAAAATCAATGATTTATCGTTAATTCTGATTTTATTTAAGGAAAATATAGTAGTTGGCTAGGCAATCATCCTGATATACTGCAACATTGTGTACATCTATGTATAAATGCTTTATCGAATCCAGAACTAATTCAATCGGCTTCGGTTGCTTTAAAAGAATTAATTAAAGAAAATCGAATGTATATGTCGAAATATTTGAATGATATTTTTCCAATTATGAAAGTAATTGAAATCTGAATGTGAATATAAACATAGAATGTGTTGTATTTCTCATTTGTAAAGAATGTTCTTGAGAATGTTCATGTTCAGGAAGATGATCGTATTCGGTGTTTATCAATTATTGGTTATATGCTATCGGGACATCCGTCGAAAATTGTGATTGATCATTTGAATATTATACTTGTACCTGAAGTGAATAAATTATTCGATTATTTATCAAAAACAAACAATAATCAGGTAAAAATAAAGAGTTTTTTTCTCCTAAAATTCAAATAGAATATTGCTAGGAAAATATTTGTACAACATTAAATTTTATATCTGTACTTCTTGTTGCGATTGGTTATTATGGTGATCAAAATGATGGCGAAGAAAATGAACAAAAATATCAAACAGTAAAAAATCCGAGTAATATATCTGAAGTGGTAAGAAATTATACTTCATTACAAATGTAGAATGTTGTGTTTGTTTTCTTCATTTAAGTTATGCTGTATTCTTCGTGATCTTGATCCTATTCTTCAAATGATTGTTAAACAATATACGGATGATTTTCAAGTCACAGAAGTAAAGATGAATTTCTATTGATTTTTTTCTATTGATTTGATTTAATATTTTGAAGAAAATTTGTGAAATTCTTACAAGAATAGTAACCATATTGAGAGAAGCAAGTAGTCTAGTATTAAATATATTTGTTCAACTTTTACAAAATATGGGACCAACGATATTACACGATGGATTTTTAAGTTTAGTTCGAAATGTAAGTTGAAAGATTCTTTATTAGTGAAAAATATTTTTTTACTGCTTGATCTAGATTCTTCTTCTGTTTTCAAAAGATGTTGATAAACCAGTGTTTAATCTTTTTCTCATTGTTCTGCAAAAAATTCGATGCCTATTCAATGGAGGTTTGTTTCTTTAACTTTCGTTTTTTCTTTCATTACTTAAATGATTTTTAGATATACAACGGTTAAAAAATCATGTCGATACGATAGAAGATGTTGCTAATTTCTTTAGTCAGGTTATAAAAAAATTGCCAAATGTTGTACATCAATGTCCTGAGGAAGCATTCATTCTATTCATCGAATTCAGTAAGTATTAAACTCAAATGTGCATACATTTATTTTATTTAAGTTTATATATTTTAAGTAAAAATTGGTATTCAATTACATGAACAAGGAACATTAAAAAGTATATCAACATTTACTGTAAGCGGATAATAAATATTTTTGAATAATTCCAATGCTGGTTTTGTTTTTGTAGTCTAATTTTATTGAATATACAAAATCAAATCATCAAGCAGCAAACCTTCTACAACAAAATGGACTTGAAATAGTTCAAATTCTATTCAAGGTTAGATTCATTGCCAATAATCATTTATTATCTTCTAATGCTCAACTTTTCTAATAAATTCTTGTTTAGTGTATCGGTGGAACAAGTCCTCATCATCTAATAGAACATTTATCATTACCTCTTTTTACTCTATCAAAAACATATTTTGATTGGACAATATGTTGGGTTCAACAATGCTTGAATGATCCAAATTTCCCAACACCATCTGCTAGTCGTCATCATCGTGAAACACTATTGAAAATGTTAACAGCGTAAGCTTGTAGTTTTTATTCAATTAACTACCATTATAACCTATTTATTTGATTTAGTAAACACACTAGTCGTTCGACTTTCAAAGATCATATCACAAAATTTTCATTGGCATGCCGTGAAACAATATCGAAAGAAAACAATTCATGAAGATTGATCATGAATTGCATGTTTTTTTATTCCTACCAATTGATAACGCTGTTGTTGTTTTCTACTTCCTTTTGTTTATTGTATACAATTATATGTTCTGCGTGTTGAATTACCACTCCGCTGACAGAAGAGAGAGAGCGGTACCCATAAAAATGCGTTTATATTCATGTTTAATGATTTATTTTACTGTCGAAAAAATATGATAGAATGTTAGAATGCGTATACTTTCTCTACGATCAAAATGACATTGTGATTAGTGATGTTTGGCTAGTAGAATTAATCACTTTCTGATAAAGACACTTCTTAGTGTAAGAATGCGTCACACAATGAGGTATATTCTCTCGCCCATGATATGAATCGCCGACGCCCGGTTCATATTTTTGCATAACTTTTGAATTTTATTACTTTTTAGTTGTCATGTTATCATTGACCAAAGAATTTCCTAAATTTTCACAAATACATACAGTTGCAGGATGGTCGCAAGGTAGCATGACAGCATTTTTACGGAGTGCTCCCTGATACAGTTTGATAGCTGTTTTAAATTTTCCGATTTTATCGAATACAGTACCAATATTATCCTATGTGGTAGCTAAATCAGGTGGATTCCGGTCTAAAGTTTGTTTTCGTATATCTAGAACTTTGCAATGTAAGAATAATGCTTTCTTAAGTAGACCGCATCCTTCGTATGCCATACTCATGTTGCTCAGCGTAGTAAGTAAAAGTACGTGTCTCTGAAACCAACGCTTTGATAAGGTTTTTCATTGCATATTTATAGTACTTCATATTAATAAAAAGCATGCTCATGCTATTGTAGGTAGTAGCTAAAACGAGGTGGTGCTCGGCTTTCTTTTTGACAAACGTTTTGGTGCCATTTTATTATAAAATAAAGCTCTTCTGCCATCCACTCGGCAGTCATGGACAGTAGCGATACCTAAATAGCTTTCGGCAAACACTTTAGGGTTGGTGGGAAATGTATGAAGGATAACTTCTTGTGCTTGATGATAATAATTTAGAGCCTTATCATATTCACCTAGCTGTTGACATTCGAGAGCAAGTTTGCTCAAAACTATGTATGTGTCGAAATGGAGGAGTGGTAGACTGCTTTTTCTAAATTAGTCATTCATCAGATTGTGAATGCTGCTTATGTTCGAATACGTCATCAGAAAACTTGGATGATTCCCAATAAGTCATACCTAGATCCATATATTCGATTGACATCTCTTCATCCTCCTTTATTTTCGTTTTCCGCTCCATCTCAATCGAAGTTTGATGATATGTTAATGCATCCTGATATTCGCCAAGTGCAATTTTGCCTGACCGTTTTGCTGCTGCCAAATCCTCAAGTTTGCACTCATAATAACATAAATGCGTATAGATATGCATTTTTTCTTCATCTGATGGGTCTTCTCTCAGAATTAGTTCACAATAGCGTTTTGCTTGAGCAAATTGGCCCATCGTTTCAAGTAGCGTTAAATTCACCACCGAAATATTAGGTATCAATTCTGCCACATCAACAATGCGAAACACACTACCCATACCAAATAACACTTCACCTTCATTTTTATTGAAGCTAACATTGCGAATGGTACCTTCCTATTGGAATCAATTTTATTATCGACCAAAACTTTAAACATAACGCACTCAAATCAATGAAGAAATAGCAAAACTTGAAGATGTTATCAAGATTTCGTGCCCGAAAAGCATGATTATAATCAGGCGAAATAGAAAACAATCGCGTCTGTACCATGCAACAGCTTGATCAGCCTTATCATTTGACTCGAAGTCAGATATGTTTTGTTGTTCTTTTGCATCTTTTGAGTAGCATTTTCGGCATTCATCAATTAAATCTCGTTTATTTTGTTCACTTTTTGGCAATCGAGCCAAAACATCAATAAGTAATTGAAACCACAAGAAAGCGGTCTTGTCTTTGTCAATATTGTGGAATGATGTTTGATGAACGTCTTGTAATGGAAAAATATTTGCAGGTGTGAAATGGTGTCGCAGAAATTGGACATCGTGCTGACTTTTTCCTACTAACTCCGCTGGTCTATTATACACGCCACGTATTTTCGAATATCCATTTGCCCAGTCTCTATGCTCAGTTGTATCATTACAATATATAAAAACAAACGATCTGAGCTTGTTCATAAAAATGTAAAAAAGTGAATTTTTACCGATTGACCCGGAGATGATAAAAAATACTTTATCGGCGACATCCGATGCAGAAAAATACTTCAGACATTCCTCTATAATATTGAAAATATAAAGGTGATTGACCAAGTTACCTAAGTCCATTTCACGATTCAAATAATCAAGTTCATTTAATTCATTTGTTGTCTAGCTATCGAGCCAAACAAGTTCGAATTCACATCCTGGCTCTTCAATAGTAACCATGATTAAATTCTATCAAGTTAACTCAAAAATTGTATGTTTACCGAACACAAGAAAATATGCTGCATTATAATGCGAAGAAACAATGGAGCGAGTTGCATGCAGCATATATTATGCTTAATCAAATTCTTGTGTTTACTCTTAACAGAACTGTTGTTCGGTTATTCACATTTTCAATAGTTAGGGTGTGTGGGTGTGGGTGTGGGTGTGAGTGAAGAGAGGAATGACACTCATATCCACCCACACCTACACCCGTATATTGAAGCTATGAAACAAAAAAATGATTTAAATTACTTAGCACCGTCTGCTTCATCTCGATTCTCAGCCAAATCTTGCACAAGTGCTAAACAGCAAATCACCAAACTAATGATACCTGATAGGATTATATCGTTCTTAACAGTTCTATACTAATCTTTTCTTATTTCACAGACAAAACGATGTTATATATCATAGAACGATAAACAGCGATTTATTGAAGAAAATAAATTCATAAATTGGATGTGGGGTGTGGATGTTGATCTTTTTTTATCATAGACTTCACACTCACATCCTGAGTTCCAATGATTCTGCTTCATTAGTTAGACTGATGTTGTTTGAATACTTCAAGATTGTTCATGTGGAGCAAAGTCTGAGGGTGATCTGGTGGTAGGGCCTGTCGATCGATATCAACTGCCTTTTGAGCATATTCAATAGCCTTTGCATACGATCCCATGCTGTGAAGTATATTAGCAATGGTACCATATCCACTTGCTACAGATGGATGAATCGCTGGAAAAATTTTTATACGAATCTTGAGGGACTCTTCACTTTTTGCCAGAGCTTCCTCATATTTGCCTTGATCATCGAGAATCATAGCTATATTGGCGTGCAATGTGGACACTAGATCGTCATCTGTATTTCCCTGAGCATTGCAGGCTTCGATCGCTTTTTGAAAATATTCAATGGCTTGATCCTTTTTCTTTTGCTTGTGATAAAGAGTTGCAATATTGTTATATGTGGTCGCTTTGTCTGTTTTACTGTCGGATCCTTTTGCATCCTCTAGTTCCAGTGACTTTTGGTAATAAGCTAATGCTTCGTCATATTTTTTCAATTCTCCTTTAACCATTGCAAGATTATTGAATAAAACTGAACGACGTTGCCATGTAGTCTCATTTTCCAGCGCCATCAAATAGAAATATTCAGATTTCTTCCAAGCCGCTAATTGATGCATTAACTTAGCAAAATTAAGGCAAGTATTCCTATCGGCCATGGACTTTTTGAAATGTTCTTTCAAAGCATTGAGTTGTTCGTCTTGATCATTTGTGAATGTTAAAGGGATGACCCATATTCCCTCAGGTGAGCATTCTACTGAACCAATACGAAACACCGATCCCATAGAGAAGAGCCACTCTTGTTCCATCTTGTATGCACTAAGATCAGTTATGTTGGCGAGAGGAACCACCGCATTCTTATCGACTGTAATTTCCATCAGGACACTCACCAGCTTTTTATTATTAAGAGCTGCACGAGCAAAATGAAGGGCTGCTTCAAGCTCTAAACTGGTAGAAAGAAAATTCGAGATGGATAAAAGCCCACCTTTGTTCAGACGAATTCGATCGAAAGTTTCTTTGTCCATTCCTTGTCCACGAAATAGCTTCCTTTCACCAATGCTCTCCTCTTTTTGTTTTACAATGATTTCTTCATGGAGGTGCCGAACAAATACTCGCAGAAGATAAAGTATATCGTACTGATGAGTCCGAAGAGCTTTATTCACCATACGATAAAGAAATGCCTCCTGACTGTACCACCAGACGGGAGAATGGGAAGAATACTTTTGTTTGAGTGTTTTCAGAAATAATTGCTCTTGAGCGTTTCCTCGGTATTGCTTTTCACAAAATTCATACATATCTTGTATGCTGTCATCTGATACTGACAAGACAATATCTCGAAACAACTGATCATACATAAACAATGCTTCTTGTTGATTAGTCTTCGATGTAGTGTCTGACAACGATAGTTCCATCACTTCAAACCCCAACAGACTACGATCGAGATTTTTCACATCCTTGCCTAGTTGTTTGCATAGCGACAGCATGGTAGTGTAAATACCGCTGATTTCTGGGTATTGACTAATCCAAGTTTCTTCTTTTGCCTTATCGGAAGATAATATATATATTGACTCCAGTTGCTTTTCGTCGTGTATACTTGAAACAAAATTTTCTTCAACTTTTCCTGAAACAACTACAAAAATCTTTTCGTCTTTGATACTAGACATAAAAGTGTGACATTGTTTTTGATCCGTAAATGTTATAACTGAATTCACAATTTGTTGCAATTGAGTTTTTGACTGTTCGTTGTGCTTAGTGTGCCCTATTGATTGGTCCAACCAAACAATGATAAAGTTTTCTACATGTTCTACTTGCGGCTGTGGTTTTGTAGGTTTCGGCATTGTAAATTTAGACACAGACACCAAAAACACCCTGAAACCTGTTGGAAAAGATGTCAAATTAAAAACCGATCTGGTAGCTTCCCATTAAAATCACAATAACTTTTTACCGAGCTAATGGACTTTTTTGTCAAGTATTTTTAGGAATCTTATAAGCGTTAAGGACTCTAGTGAGGCTCCTCTAGTCGTGAATAGTTTTTGCTTATCTTTAGAGGTGTTCGAATGAATTTTATGTTTTCGTCAGCAATCGTCTTGAAACTTGGTCAATTCGCTGTTCCCCTAATTGGCAAAAAGATGGCTGAATCTCGAATCCAGGTTGAGCTACAGGCAGCTTCGACAGTTTTTTTTTCTAACCATGTTTTTTTATGTGCTTCTGCCACATGCCAGTTGTAAAAAAGATAATTGTCAAAACGAGGCGTTGCCGCCATCATTCTTTCTCAGAATCTAACTCAGTTTCCTCTGAACTTCTAACAAAAAGTCGTACATTTTGGTATGAGAGTCGCCCTTCTTCTCTCGCTCTAGTAGGATTTCATCCACGTCGAGAATATTAGGTGTGATGTGGTCTGCTCAATTCTCGAGAACAATTAGAGTATTATTTTAACCATACAACGATTGACTTGAAATCTATTGTTTACTACATGACAGAATTTTTCCATCAAAAAACTATATTGAGTTAATCTTCCCTGTCTGGCAAGGTGTATGGCTTTTGAACGAAATCTATATCTAATTGCTATTCGAAAAATGCGAGAAATACCTTTTTGTAAACCAAACCGTTGAGATGGCGGCAATTTAGAATCGAATTTGCCATCGTTTGTAAAAAGTTGCCAATCAGTTTTCTTCTTCCGTCTGCCAGTTATAACTGTAGCTTCGGCCATTAAAGCTTTTCTATGTGTTCAAAGAAGCAATTTTCGTATTTTAGTAGAATTATGAAAAAAAACAACAGTTAACTGCTGTACTGAATTAAATATATTTCTCTTCGAAATGGCTTCCAGATTACTTTTTCGTCGAATTTTACAGAACAAAGAAATTTTTGTTATGAACTGTTCTTTTTTTTCTTGGAAAAAACAACTTACACATTATGATCACGTTGACAGCGGCGAAACAGTTTATTACGAATAAACCTTTCTCATATTTTTTCTTTCTCTTTTTTTTTTCTTTTATGTTTGTTTTACTTCGTACGTCAGATCAATAATGTTCTTGACAAAGAAAACAAAAGAAACAACACCTTTTCAGAGAATCATGTAGCTAGCGGTGACAATTTTACTTTCTTTCTACTTTCAGAAAGGAAAGTTACGAAGTGTAATGAATCCGAGCGAAGAATATTTATTGAAAAACAAAACGGAAAAGAATGCCTTCACCAGAATATGGAAAGCTATATTTTTCACGAAGAGCGCGTTCTATAAGTTGACGAATATGTTCGTTACTGAAAAGAACTCGTTCAACATCTGACTGAATGCATTCTTCAACGTTTCATACTGTTATGGAATGTTTTCTTTTCATTCTATTTGGGAACCGTTAGAAGTGAGGTCTATTTTGCGGAGATGGTGTTCACTCACGTTCTGTAACGGGATGCCTAAGAATGGACTCTTGGAAGTAATAAACGCTTTCCAGATCATTAAACATCATTCTTGGAAAGAAAAGAAAACGTTCTGTTAAGGTGTACTTTCACTTCTTTATTAGCAGGTTCGATAACATACACTTTAACAATAATGAACAAGAAAACTGAAAAATGATAATCACAGGGACAGATATGCTCGTATTCAATTATCTCCAATGAGATAAAGAATACATAATAATGTGTAGA